TAGTGTATTAATCAAACCTTTGTCTTTCATGTTGTTTATTAAGTACTTCATTTTCTAATGCAAGATCATTCGTATTAACAATACAATCGATTGCATCAAAATTAGTTGTAGTACGAGATGATTGTCGATTTGTATTGTCTGGATTTTTATTGTCCATTACTTTAATTTTCAGTAAACATCCAATATAATCAATAACAAAAAGAAAACAAATTTTTTTATCTAAAAAAAAATCAAACAAAGAAGAAAAAAAAAACAGAATTAATTCTTTTTTGTTGTTGGTTCATTTTCAAGTTCCCATAGTGTTATTTTATGTTCTTTAATTGCTTCCTTATTTAAATAGACAAAAAACAAAATAAAATAAAAATAAAAAATATTATTTTAATTGACATTACTTTAATACAAGCTTGATATTTTTTAAAAAGATTTGTACACATATCAGCTGTTGTGTCACCTTTCAAATAATGTTCAGTAAACCATGAATTAAAACATGCATCATATTCATCTTTTAATGTTTGACACGATGGACTAATGCTACTCATCTGAATTATAATAGAAATAAAACAAATTAATTAATATCATTATATTATTATTTGAGTAATGACATCTAGCATAGAAATAAAATATGAAATGAATAGTGATGAACTATTGGAAAATAAAATTGGGCATGGATCTTAATCAATGGACATTATCAAATAAAGATGTCGTTAGAATACAAAAATTACTTTGTCTTATTGTTGAATAATGCTTTAGACAAAGAATCCCAAGCCATTTATTTATTTATTATATACCATTAGACCCTCGATGGTTCAAAATTCTTTAGAAGATTCTACTTCTGTAATATATCATTGATTCATGGTTTGCAAATAGCGAGTCCAATCGGATAATTAAGGCATTAAATACTTTGTACATTTACTTTACAATCGAATGAGACACTTCGTGTGAGAAGCAAGTTTCTCTAACCATATATTATGCATTGAAAACGCTTGGCTTGTGCTGCTGTCTATAATTTTTACAGAAAAAAAACTGGTTCTGGGTAGAATGACAAGAGTATGTCGATGCCTCTAATCAGCGTATTATGTTTATGTTTCTTTTTCAGTTTTTGACTATATATGATGGAAAAATAATTAGGATATATTTTTTGCTTCAAGACTTCATATAGATATCGCTGATAGGAAGTGCATGTTCTGATCATTGCAAGAAAAAAACATCTTTTAGTGCTTGTAACATTTTTTCAATACTGTGTTATCTCAAAATACTTGAAATGATTGCATAACTTGAATTTATTGTAATTATCAATGATTTTATGAAAGAAAACGATATTAAACAATAGATATTCATTTAATTCTCACTGTATTGAAAGTTGTTTCTCATTAAGTCAACAGTTGTTTAATGAATGCTATATATTGTGTAAAATCTTCGACGAAGATAGATTTAATATTTTAGACTCAAGTCTTTGTGTAAAGAATTTCGAGAACTAAAAGGAAAACAAATCAGTCATTCTTGATTCATGGTGACAGATTCTCTCAGAAAAAATTTGATGTGACATAATAGCATTTGTCTAAGCTTAAACAATAAATAGGAAGCATGCATCTCTTTATCATGTACATTTCGAATAAAATTCCATCATGAAGAGAAGATAATTAGATTTTTCTGTAAAACATCCAGCTACTTTTGTCAAATGCTAATAGAATAGAATCTTATTGCTCTTGTTACATGCTAAATTTTTTTGTTACAGACTGTAAGTTAGCCGTTTATTAATTATTTTCAATACTCGTATGCTTGCTAAATGAAATGAATAGCATAAACAGGATTTCATAAACATTCATACTAACATTTTACATGAATAACTCTTACAGTAAAAATCTCTCTTAAATGAGCACCATCGAGATTTATGAAACATGTTCCTTGTTGAGAGATTTACATTGACAAGAGCTCTTATATATTTTACTATAAATTCAAAAAAAAAATATTTTAGAATATAAGCTAGTATACTAGTTTTGAAATAATCAGAAGTTATTGTTTGCATTTATTCATTTTCCTTCATTTGAATATTTATGAATGTAAAAAATTCTCAACAGAATACAAAACTTTGCTTTGTTGGACAAAGTCCTCTATTATGATTTTGGTCTTGATACATGTAATTTCGATAAATGTTGCTATACAATCCATTCACATATATATTCATCAAGTTTTACTTCGATTTTGGTTTGTTTGATAATCGTTTACGAATGCGGCAAAAGTTATTTGTACGATTTTGTTTTACTCATATCTCAACAAAATAAATCAGTATTTTAACGAATCAATGACGTCAAAATAACCATTATGATTCGTATTAACTTTCCTCCAAATATCAAAACGTTTGACTTACAGATATTGCAGATATTACTTCATTACTGACAATAGCGATATATGTGTTCGCAAAAAATATTCGTAAGATTTATAGAATCTAATTTGTTTTTGTTTTTGAATTTGCGAATGAATTTATTAATAGTATCATAGATAGAGAAAAATGAAATGGATGTTTCAGTAAAAATATTCTCTGGCAAAGAGATGTAAAGATTTCTTATTACGAACATTTTTGAATTTCACTTACATAGTTACAATCAACATCTTAAGGTATGCGTCGTTGGATTTTTCAAAATGATTGTTACTATTTTTTGAATAACTCTAAATCGTTCACATTCATGTAGCTCCGATTTTTATCATTGAGTAGAGCAATCTGAAAGACGTTCATTTGTATGAAATCAGCTAGATTCGATGGATTCTTCATGTTACTTTTAAATAAACAAGCAAAAGTTCAACAATGCATGTCTTTAGGTGTTGATTGTAATTGTGTAATATGAAATTCAAAAATGTTCGTAATAAGAATTCTTTACGACTCTTTTCCATAGATTATTTTTACTGAAATGTCCCTTGCACTTCCCTCTGTTTATGGTACTATTTTCACGTTTATCCGAAAATTCAAAAGCAAAAACAAATAAGATTTTATCGATCGTATGATTACTTTTTGCAAACCAAAATAACACTATTATTAGTAGTGAGAAAGTATCTGTAAGTCGAACACTTTGATATTCGAAGGAAAGATAATAGGAGTCATGATGAATATTTTGACGTTTTTGCTTCCTCAAAACATCGATTTATTATTGAAATATGAGAAAAACAAAGTCGTACGAATAATTTTTGTCTCATCTGTAGGCCAAAAGTTTCAGCAATATGTAACTGTAAAAGAATTTCTCTTAAAAACTCGTCTTGTAGAGATCCTATCGATTACCGAAATAAATATTTTTGCTTTATCAGTATCAAACGATTCTGCAGAAGGATTTACACTGTTTGGTATTGATTTTTAGCTTCTCATTCGATTATACGAGTAATTATGCTCTTGTATATATTCTTTGTCAGCCACGTCACAAACGAAAAGTAAATCGTATTTTTGAAAAACCTAGGAATGGATAGAAAAGACCTTGAATAGGAATTTTGTAGCTGTAGAAGTTGTCTACAGAATCCACTATTAAATTTTCTAAAATGTAGTCTCAATTCGTAGTTTTTAAACTGAAACTTATGAATTGAAAGTCAATGTTCTGTTTAGTGTTCGCTCGCTAATGCTGGTTGTTTTTTTTACAGATAACTCTTCTGAACAAAGATCTCTAGCGCTGATTTTCTCGTGATATCTAGAACAAGTTAATATACATTTAGAATATAAAAATTAGTTCTAGAGAAATTTATCATCTCGAGATATACATATTTTAATTTTGCAAAGTCTCGTTGCTAACGAACGATTTAAACCATATAAAGATTTGATTGACTTCAAAACAAAAATCGATAATGAAAATAAAGTAATTCGAAAATAAACTGGTGGTAGTACTTTTTTTTCTGAAATTATTTCGAGAAAGATGAATTTACATCTTTCAGTTGATGATTATTGTTTTGAATATTTATTGTAAATCAAATTATATAAAATAAAACTCACAAAAATTCACTTAGGTGTACGTTGAAAGTTTCTCGATAAAATATTTGGTTATTTTTCACTCATTTAAATGCGTTAGAGAAGAGTAAGAAGTAGTGTCGTAAAAATGATGTTCTGTGCTCTGTCAGACCCTTTACTTAGAATTTTGCTGTGACTTTTAACTAGTATGATGTAAACAAATCTTGAGAGGACGGGGAAAAGTTTTCCGAACAAGAAAAAAATTTGATTTTTTTTTCAAGATAACTCAGTCATCAAATAAGTTCTGTAAATATACAGTACTTCAATGTAATCTCTACTCTATAAATAACCTAAGAATGAAGAAATAGTCATTTTTCTTTAGATAGACGACTTTATAAAAAATGTTTACTTCATGTATACACAGTTTTCAAAACATTAACCACTTTTTAGAGGATTGTTTTTGTCTCGCCAAATATGTTCGATAATATTATGTAACATGTCTGAAAAAGCTGCATTTGAAGATTTTTCCTCTAAAAAAAAATGTTTCAGTCTTCTTATGATTCACTTATAGCTTAGCTCAATAGTTAAAAGTTATAGAAAAATTCTAAGCATATATTCTGAAAGAACACAAAATTCTGGCTATAATTCATTACTTCTCATTCTTTTCCAATACATTTGAAGACACGAAAAGTAGTGAAATATTTTTTTTAAAAACTTTCGAGTTCATCGTGTATCATATAATGAAGAAAAGGAATTAAACTATTTGATTTGTTCAAAAAACATCGATCTAAACTTTTAGTACTCTCTGACCGTTACAATTTCCAAATATTATATTTTTACATTTGCACTAAAAATTTTTTCACATATCTGAATGTTAACATGCGCAAATAACAAATAAGACATATATAAATATGTTCTTTTATTTTTCAATCATTTTCAAGTTTATATATGCTAGATTAAGAACTAGATATATCTATCTAGCCATAGGAAAATAGACACATACATAGACAAAAAAAAAGCATATAATTTATATGCGCAAATAATTATAACTTTTGAATTCTTTGTCTTTGAAAGACAATTAGTCTTTAGGTGATGATGGATATAAAAATGAACTACTATCCGAACGATACCATACATAATAAGTAATATACCAAAAAAATACTGCAACACCAGCAGCTATTAATTTATGTACAGTATGATGAAAATATAAAGCTGTTGATAAAATCATAAATTCCCAAAGAATAGTCAATGCTGCTAATAAAACATAATTTATTCGAATAATTTTCGAAAATATTTTTAGATGTTCATGGTTTATATTTGATAATGTTTCACCACTTTTCTGTGCTATTTGATTTGCTTCATCAGCATTTTTTGTACCTTTATCATAAGATTTAACTTCTTCATTGATTATTAAAATAGCATAAAGAAGTAAAAATACATGTCCGCTAAAATCATGTCCTTCTTGCCATTCAAATCCACCACTAAGACAAATTCTTCTTGTAACACCTTGCATGGTCTCATGTTTGCACATGCCTGTATATGATTCAACATGAACAAATAAGGATGTAACCATATACCAAACACCAGTTGCAACAAGTAAACGAACTAAGTGACGTGTTATAATTTGATAATGATTATAAGTTGTTATATAAGTTAAATAAATAAATGGAATTAATAAACCCATTGTCCATGCCCAACCTAGTTTAGCAAAATATATATTAAATATATTTGTTTTTAATGACAAATATGAATTTGGTGCCAAATCTAATGCTTTTAAGACAGAACCAATTATGATAATAGTAAAAGAAACAAGTAATTTAAATATTGGTGGTCCAAATATTATACGACGACAAAAAAATAAAACAAGATCACGAATTATATGATATATTTCATGTAAAATTGTTGGTGTAAGTTCAACATCTTTGGTAGTTTCTGCCGATGATTGTCTTGATTGAGGTGGTGATGCATGTCGTTGTTTTGTAGTACCATTATGTGGTTCAGGCGTCGACATGATTATGTTTATTGTGTAACGAAAGTTTTATATAAATCTAAAGCTTGTAATAAAATACGTCAAAAAAATTCTCTAACAGAATACTACCCATAAACAATTACACGACAAATCCATATTTTACCTATGTTTGCTTGTGAATGGATTACAATATTCGTGTGTGTTCTCTTTTACCTAAAATATATTCACTATTGGTTATCTTATATTTAACAAAATATATTCGTAGTAATTATTAATCTTATTTCAAAATGACAACAAATATTTCATCATCAACAAATACAAATCGATTAACAAATTTATCAACATTAAATAGTCATTCAACAAATATTTCTAGTGACAATAATAATAATAATAATGAAGAAGACCAATTAAATCGTATTAATTTACAAGCATTACAAAATCGTGATCCATATATATCTAAAATTGTTGATCAAGCTCAACGTGTTTGTGTTTATAAATTTATTGCTGAAAAACGTGAATGGGTATAAAAATAAATTTTTTTTTATAAAATAATTATTTATTTTATATTTATTTTTTTTTTAGGAACGTAAAGATCTCGAAGGAACATTATTTGTTTATGAAAGGTAAATAAATAAAAATTTTATTGAATTTATTGAATAATTTATCTAATTATTTTTTTCTTAAAAATTAATTTAGAATATGTAAACCTTATCATGGTTTTGTTATATTGAGTACAGTTTCACGTGAAACATTTGTACAAATTATAAAACCCTCTATGGAATTTAAACATACACCTACATATGAAGCATTTCTTCAATATAAAGTTGATGTTGGAGGTATAAAATAATTTTTCATTTATTTGTATTTTTTTTTAATTTGATTAGATATTTATGGAATATGGTTTATTTCAAAAAATGATTGTCCTCGTGTAACTGAATGCTTAAAAAGGTAAGACAATTGCATTTTGAAATTTGAGCATTTTCTTTTATCATTGTTCGATAAAACTCATCGAGAAATCTACAGAAACGATGTTTTTATAGTAAAACTTAGGATAGTTAGACTAAAAAATTCGAAAAGTCTATGAAAATTGAAATATGTCAAAAGCATCAAGTGCTTGTAGACTCAATATTTATTCGAACTCTTTTGATTTTACTTGTCATATAATTAGAAAAAAAAATGAATTTTTTTTTGATATGATAGCAAAATAAGCAACAAATACGGCTTGTTATCCTAAGCTTTTGATTATCAAGAGTTTAGCTCTGAAAGAAATAAATATCATATTCAGAATCATTGCAAAAATCTGCATCAAACAATATACTCAAAATTAATTTCCGTCAAGTTTTGATCCTCATTACGGTACGTAGTGCTGTATTAGTTATTTTATAGCTACTTTATTTTTTATCATTTTTAAATACAATTATTATAGTTTTCAATATTGACTTATATAATAAATACAAGAAAATATAGAAACATCTTGATTTATAAATTAAAGACACATTCATCATAGAAAATGCGTATTAAAAAAATATGAACTTGTGATATTTTGTCATCGTTATCTTAACGAATAATGGATACTATTAATAACAAAAAAAAAATAGAACAATTAAAAAGTTCTTGATAACAAAAATGATACATAAAAAGGAAAATATTCAAAACATAGGTGAGCACAGGACAATCCTTTCTGTCCTGCCTTGCAACGTTATTTCGTTCTGATGGTTGGCAGGAGTGTACTGACGTGTGTTTTCTCTGAAATAGAAGTTTGACAGAAATTAGTTTTAATCATTGAGTATACTATTCGATGCAGATTTTTGCAATGATTCTGAATACAGTATTCGTTTCTTTTAGAATTGAAGTTCTAAGGATCAAAACCTTAGAATATAAAGTTTTATTTACGAATTTTTGTCTAAAGACATGACGAGTAAAATCAAAAACAATATTGAGACTACCAAAACTTAATGTATTTAGCGTATTGTAGTGTTTATAGCTTTTTTTAATCTAGTTATTTTTAATAGTATTAGAAAAACATCGTCTGAATATGTCATAGACAACAGGTTTATCGATCACTCGACCAGCTTCATTGAACCATGACGAGAAATATAATTTACACAAATTGTGAATTGACTTCATCTTAAATAAATAATTATTGATTTCATATCAAAATTATTCATTATGATATTTTAGTTTAACACAAAAAGCAAAAGAATCTGAACAATTAAAAACAACCGAAAATGTTTCCTCTACAACATCAAAAAAACCAAATGATATTATTTCCTTATTAACTAATGCTCATGATAAATTTCAAGAATCTGTAAATTAAAAAGAAGATAATTTCGTTTTTGTCTTGGTCTTTCTAATTGTATTCTGTTTTTAAATTTAGAAACGTAAACAAGAAACAAATAACAGTGAAACATCAACACCAATGCCAGCTGTACTTTTACGCTTATTTTCTACTCAAGAAACTTCAACACAATCAAATACGAATAACGATGAACGTGGAGAAGAACTGAAAAAAACATTGGGTATTTCAGGAAAATCAGCATTAAGTGTAACAGAACTAGAAAAACAATTACTTCAACCAACATCTTCTCAAGAGACGATTAAAACTGATGTTAATAATGATAATCTTGAAAAACCTGTGCCGATTTCAACAAAAGTATTGAAAATATTATTTTTCATGTTTTTTTTTCAATTTTTTTAAAATTCAGACGCAAATACAAACTCCATCTCAGTCTATATCACCTCGCACAGTGACAAATTTACATTCCACTACTCTTAATACGAAATCCGTTAATAGAGTAAATTATTTATTGAATAAAATATATATTATATATATATGATTTTATGATTATAGTTTGATTCTACATCAAGAAATACTAATCGTTTAATGACACCAGCAGACTTCCAAACCTTACATTTTACAGAATCGCCAGGTAAATTGCCATTTAAGCATAATACTTAATTTTTTAACTGTGATTCTTCATTCAGGAATGTCTTAGAAAGATTATTTTTTTGTTTCAAAAACTTCGAAATCATTTTCATCATACTTACCGGAAATCTATTGATTAGATTATTAAAAGCAAATACAGATAGTACATTTTTTTTATTCAATTATTTGAGTAGAGGACGAAGTTTGTAATAATTTCGTCTAGATCATTCAATTATCAATGATTTCAATTAGTAATGTTGATCAGTTTTTTTTTATTTAGTTTCTGTGAATCATTGAGAGTATGCTGTGGCATATGTATACAATATCCATATAGTACATGTCGATTTTATTATGCCAGAAAAGATTTCCTTTCAGAATCTGATAGTTTCTTTGAAGAAACACAATTCTTTTGTTTTTCAATGATTTCTATTTGACGACGAGCACAACAGAATATTTCTCACACAACTTTGACATGGAACTTCTAATAATCAAGTTATAATTGGTTCATACTTTTAGAGTTGAGCCGATCGCTCACGATTCAGAATCTAAAAGTGTAACTCGTCAATCGAAGTAATATCTTGCTCATAGATAGGTCTCGTGGACGTTTGAATGCCTTGAAAGTTTCAGCCTAAAAGGCTATGCTCTCGAAATGTCGAATATCAATAAAGAATCATTTTATCACAGAGAAAGCTAAGGAGACCATTATTTTCAACATTTGACATCTTAAGAACAACCCATTCTTTTAGCATGACATTCTCCGGACTTGTTTATGTCTACGAGATCTATCTATAGGCAGAACTATAGATTGAATTTCCCATAAGTCGATTATTTTCATCAATAATTTGCTAGAGATAGAAGTATCAGTAAGATTGTATTAAATTGAAAAGTACAGCGCATAGGAACGAATACCTATAGGCTTCTACTAGTCTTGTCAGTGCCTACTTAAGGGTAAAATATCATTTCTATGAGCGAGTCACAGTTGGAGACCTTTCCTTGTCAGTGAACGATCCGAATCCAAGCAAATTCATGACCTATTCGATAGGTTTTAATGAACGGTGATAATCTTCTATGCATAGAGTCATCCAAATAACTTTTACTCTGTCTATTCACTCATGCTTTTTTTATATCATCACTCTTCAATACATCTATTAGTGAAACTATTCATCAAATGGTATTATACAGAATATAGTTCTATAATATTGTTTTCTGAAATAATTGATGACATGATTCGTTATATTTGTGTATAATATATATGAACATTTCTTTCTTTAATTGGTCACTGAATATAAATTAACAGTAAATCTACAAATGAAACACAACTGCAAAGCTTAGACAACATTCTTTTATAATGACAATAGTTTTGAGCAAAAAAAGAAACCATGAATAGAGTTTTCAACATTACAGCTTCATATTTCCATTCATTACTCGATATTTACTTTTTTTTAGTTCGTTTTTCCCCGACTCAAATTGACTCATCATCAACGTCATGTCATCGTTGTCAAAATCAACAATCTCCATCGGTTAATCATTTTTCTAAAGATTATTTGCGACACTTATTAGTTGATATGCTTCAAGTAAGATCTATTATTATATTTATAAAATTAAATTAATTAATTTGATCTTTTAAAGAATGATGAAGAACTTGTAACCGGTTTACATAATGCTTATATTAAAAAACAAACTATTTTACATCGTATTTATTCATAAATTCTATTTTCGTTTTGTGTTGTCTAGTCTTTAATTATTATCTGAACTGAAATCGATGTGTTATATAGTCAACGATAAAACATTTTCGAAAGTGATTAATGGTTTTTGCTAAATTCATTGAACATTTGTTTTTTTTTTCTTTACTTTATCATATACAAAAGAAAAATAATTTGGTTATTGTATGTAGTTTTCTTTTGTCTATTTCATATACAAAATGGATCGTTCTTTTTTTTCCTCTCGTATTATTGTTAAAATAAAAAAAAAATAAATTTACAAATTGAATGTAGTTATAATTGGACAGTTGTATGTGTTATATTATGAATGCTGGAATAATAAGGACTTTGACAATCGAAAGTTTTATATACATAATGAGAATAAGTTGAACGAGGAGTGTCACTTATATTTTTCA